ATTCTACGAATCATAAATATTCATTTTCATAATATGTCACACACTTGCACGCAGTAAATCAATATCAATTTGACAGGAAATATACAAAATAACAATAACAAAATAAATTGCACCATTGGAAAAAGTTGACAGAAAAGTGAAAACAAACAGAAAACAAAAGTGATTTTTTTTATGGCACCTACTAAGTATAAAGAGCATTAATATTCCTTTGTATTAATTACAGAACCTATTATTATTGATTTCATCTTCACGCTCTTGGTAAGAATAAAAAAATGTAATTATAAATTCATAAATATGGCACTGATTGGCCGAACACAGCGGCATATTTTAATTAATTAAAATAAATGTGAGCTTTAACTGTCAGCTTAAGAATCTTTATCTACTTCCTGACATACTTTTAATATAATTTCTTTAATAATTAACCATTTACAATAAAATATTAAAGCTGGGTTAAAGCAGCTGCTTGTTCTTTGAAATACGTTAAGAAGTATTTAATAAAATTTTGGCAATAATTCATTTTAAAATCCCTCAACTAAACACAATGTCTATTGAAAAACTTTCTGATGCGGCCTAAAGAAGAAGAAGCTCGCTCGAAATTCAAAACATATTCATGAAAGTGAAATGTAAAGCCAACATGCTTATTTGAAACCCATAAATTAGTGAGTTATTCAAATTAGCTGACAATTGTTGCTGCCAAAGAAAGCCGAAAAACGAACAAAAAGCCATAAGAAGCAACAAAAAGCGTTGAGAAAGCAGTCAAAAAACTGTTCAATTTATGGCGCAAAATGATGGCGTGCTTGTGTGTTTGTGAGTGTTGTGCAAATCTTTACTCACACGCGCAAATTGCCACACATAATTATGTAAACGAGTTTTGAAGAGACGAGGGGCAAAGAGGGTAAAGGGTAGCGGGCGAACGAGCACATTTTAATTACCAGGAAAATGTAAATTAACCGAACCACCTAAGACAACAGAGCAGACAACTGGGAAAACGCACAGCAGCAGCAGCAGCAGCAGCATCCCACCACCAGCAAAACAAAGCCATGAAGCTCAAACTGTATGTATGCATATCTATATGTTCTGTTTATAAGTGTGTGTGTGCGTATGCGTGAGCCCTCACAGCTGAAAAGTATGCTACAGTAAAGTTTGCATGCGCTGCCTGCTCCTCGATGATAACTTTTCCAGTTGCCAGTTGGCACAAAATGACACAAACGTTATGATAACAAACATGAAAATGGTAGTTGGGGTGCGGGAAAGAGATACCTCGATATACCCTACAACCAAATCATTTGTTAGCGAGGTTATGAATTTAAACAATATAAATATATTAATATAATTTTGCAATTTTACTCTTTGACCCACCTTTTTTATGTTCATTTCAGCTAAATATTCAGAAATATATTTGAAAGGAATTGGACACTGATTGTCCGAACGAAAGCTTAAAATTGTATGCAACCGATTTACCAAAGTTACGGCTGGAATTTCTAAAAACACTAAAACTAAAACTAAATAAAGTGTTTGAATTCGAAACTTCGGCCAAAAGGAGAGGTTTTCCGCAAATTATCAGCACTTATAGCTGTAATAGAAGTAAAAAATAAAAGAGATATATGTATAATAGAGAAAGAAATACAGAAAGAAAGGTATATACCCTCTTAAGTTTGCATCCCCCAAGTTGAATAAATATGAAATTTAAAGTCTATTAAACGATGGATAGGCACGAGCTGCTTCCGGCGCGTCAGCTAAGCAGCTTTAAAACGCCGCCTGCTTCCTGTCAGCGACGGTGATAATTACACCACACACTCACACACCTCCGCACTGCCTGCCAATGACAGCTACTGATGTGTGCGTGTGTATCCCAGTACATATATATGCACACATGATGAAAAGTTGGGTCCAACAACGGACAGAGATTGGGGTTTTGTTGATAGGCGGCTGCCTTTTTACGGCTCATTTGAACCTTTACAGTTTTCAATGCCTGACACTTTCCGGGTTTTGATTAATTTTAATTGTGTGACATTTAATTAATTCGTGCAGAATGAAAGATTATCACAGCACTAACTAATTACATAATCGTTAGCTAAATAATATACAAGCCTCACCAAATCCATACCGAGCTTCTCTCTCTTTTAAGCAAACCCTTGTGTTTGCACCAGTAATTTAAGCTTTCACATGTTGTTTTAAGCGTCGAAGGATTAATCTCTACCCTGCAAAAAACAAAAAAAAAAAAAAATAAACAAACACGCGCAGCGCAGTGCAAGCAACTACTGAATAATTTAATTCAATTAAAAGCCAGCGGCGCTTAGCAAGTTAAAATGCCTCACATGCGAGTGCTCGACTAGTTAATACCTCACATTAAAGTTCTGGTACAAATATAAAAGCTTATATATATACTATCAATTAAAAGGTATCGCGAGGTAGACAGAGAGGCGATACTTTAGAAGTAAGTCAGTTCAGTCAACTTCCAATGGGAGATTGTGGCAATAGTTCAACAGAAAGATTTGCGTAAGATTTAACTTAATCAATGTTGTTTTCTATAGTAATAGAAAGGGAACAAAGCGACATCCCTTTTTTTTTTTTGGTCATTATTTAATGAAATGTTGGCAGATTAATTCTCGCCACAATTGCATGTACATAATATTAGTGTGGATCAAATATATAAAGAGAAGATCTCTCTCTATGTCGTTAGTGGTTTCTCCTGCATGCCACAAATATCTACAATATCTGAAGCCCTATTTGAAGTCATTTGGTTACTTTAGGGTATTTTGAAAAAAAAAACATTAAGAATCGTAGAGCCATTTAAGCAATTAAATAATTGAAATGTAAGCGATAAAAGTCATTAAATCAATTTAGCAACTCTGCAGTAGAAGCCACACCAACACCAAATAAAATCCACAAAAAAATGGTAGTTCACCTCTTATCTGGGTGAAATTGCAAATATATGCAAAATACTTTATAAAATTCCACAGAGGGAGAGAAGAAAGTGCATTAAACTTTAACGACAGTAAAGAGCAGGAGTTCCAAGCGGTATGAAAGATGTGCACAAAGAACTCGTTACGGTGCAATTAACTCCCAAAAGAAAAAGTGCTGGCATATCAAATAAGCGAAATAAACAAATTAGCAACTTGTGAGCTAACTAAGAAAACGACAACAAATACAAAATAAATAAATAAAAGAATAGAATCAAAAATTGTTTTCAATGGGAGTTGAATAAACTACGAAGGTCGAAACAAAGCGTAATCAAGGGCCATATTATAAAGTCAGCAACACCTAAGGATGCCCACAACAGCGAACACTTTGCCTAATGTCACAGGCCAAATTGGTTGGCACTCAAAAGCAGCTGCACGAACATCCTGTGCATCCTGTGGAAGCTAAACAACATAACAATAACCATTCTCGCCTGACAGTCCCTGCTGTTCTACCACTTTAACCCCACGAACCAAAGCATAGACAATTCCCAACACACCCACACACCCGCACACACACACACACACACACACAGATAGAGAGAGTATTGTGTGCCACTGCGTTGCCCATTCGAGTGTGTAAAGAGCAAAGGCAACGCCAGAAGCGGCTATCTAAAATTTGTTCAACTGTCAACTTTGCAACATAAAAGAATTCGGTGTGGAGTTGGTTACTTGTATATTTATAGCATTCTACGTATATCCTGACTGTAAGTGTGTCTGATTTGTTCATGTGACAGGCAGCGTATGGATATCAAGAGTGGCAACAATAAAACAGAGTGCACATCAATTTATTATCAACAATCAAGAGATGGACTTCTTAACTGGATATTTACATGTGTTCTTCTACAAGAGTTTGCGAATTTTTGCCCGTTTCAATAGGTATAAAAAATAAAACCTTGCGCTCAAGATTACTTTGAAATTCAACTAATATATCTACATTATATTCAAATGTACTTTAACTTTTCTTGAATATTTTCATTTTTCTGTTAAATATATATTCTTTTTTATAAATTATCCTTTGCTGAGCTAATAAAGTAAAATTTCTTTACACATAGAAGGAAGTTAAAATGAAATATTTTTTTTAAAAGACGATTTATTTTAGGGTAGCTCATTGGCGGCTGTGTTGTCGCTAGTTTGACTTTCTTATTACCAGGTATCCAGGCAATACACAAAAACAAAAATCAATAGATAACAGGTGGCACAGGAGTCACAGGAAGTCTCCGACTGCTGCCACTGAAATCGTTAACGGCAAAAAGCAACGAGCATAACAACAACAACAATAGCAACAACAGCAACAATAATGCCAACGGAAATAAAATTGTTATGAAAACAACATAAAAATATTCAATATATTTGCATTTTATGTGTATGTGCATATATATATAAGTCTATATATGTAAATATATATATATATATATAAACATGGGGCGTGGCCTGTGTGTTGACATTAAGTAAAAAGCGCCATTAGCTATAAAAATACTTAATATGGAAATATGGAAAATGCGCAGTGCTTTGGGGTATTTACGTAAGCAAACGACTGAGAAAAACAACTAAAGAAACTGTCGCAAAAGTTGCCGCGTTTCCTGCTATAAAACTGAAGCAGGGTCAGTGGCAGCAGGCGGCAGACAGGCAATCGTTAACGGTTCATACATTTGCACCTGCCCCAGCAATCGCAGCGTTGCGCATACACGTGCGTATACGTAATATTTGCTGTCAGAGAATTTTAACAATTTGTTTGAACATTTTTTGGCCAATCCGCAAACTGTCAACTAAAATAGTAAATACCTATAGAGATTTTACGCTGGCAACTCACACAATTTAAGTTGTATATAATGAAAATGAACCCTCACGTAACAGCAACATTATAATATCAAAATGAGTTCGATATTCCCTTAAGATTATTCGAAATTCCCGTTACCAAGATCGATAATATATATGTATATATATATATACATTTTTCAAGTTGAGTGTGTTAGATATTTCGCAACAAAAAACGCTGCTTGGGTTAAAAATAAGAAGTTTAATTATAAAATGTCTTACCCAGGAGAGCGCCGAATAAAATGGATGCCTCGTTGCCTGTGCCAGGAGCCGCCGCGACAATGAACCAACAAACTTGTCAATTTGCATTTGATGTTCATATTAGGTTTACTTAGGACCAATCCAGATGCCGGCCTCATTGTCTTTAAGCCAACCCAAACTGGCAGTCGGTAGCTACTACTTCACTTGGCTCTGTCTGAATGGCTGCATTTGCCTCACGTCAAGGACAATTACTTAGGCGTCAATGGGGATTATCAGTAAAAATGTGCGGGCGCAGGATGAATTGCTGCAGACCAGGCACATGGGGGCGAGTGTGGGGGGGTGTTGTATACATAAGTGCATGGCTGAAATGCCACGAAACTAATTTAAATATTAAATAAATGTATTTATGCAAATGCGTCTTCTGACGCTCTGAGCATACAAAATTGCTCAATTGCCTTCAATTGCGCACACTTAGCGCCAGTCCGCAGTGAAACATCTACGGATCTGCTAGCAACAGCAAGTAGTGGGCACTCTCTATGCCACATCTATTTGGTGGCTCTATGCTCCCCAGTGCCACAAACAGTTCCAATTAAACTTTTCGCGTTGCTTTTAATAACTTCAAATTGTTTAAGGCCTTCGAATTGAATTTCAAGCGCTTTGCTGTTGATGTAGGTTCCAATTCGAATGCTGCAGATGCTTCGCCTGGCCCGGCACTATATGTTCTATAAGCAGTGCAGAGCTTTCTGTGCTCAGATTCTCCAATGAAATTCATTTGACTTGGCACTCACGGCATTGTGTGGTGAGAATGCGCAGACTGGTCCAGAGAATCAGGCATGTGGTAGTCTGATAAATTACACTGAGAAAAAGCATTTTGTAGTTAGACCTGTAAGTAAAATAATAAAAAGTATTATATTAAGAATATTTCACAATTTAAGACTAAGTTAAAACAGAAAATAATATTGATTTTATTAATAAAATTTTGTTATTGAAAATTATAGGCCAATTTGAGAGCTTAAAATAAATAAATTGTAAGCACAAATAAATATTGTTTATATTGGGCTACAACTGAGATTATGTATCGTAGTTTTTAACCAAGAGATATAAAATGCAGTAGAATAGGTGCAAATTATTACATGTGCTTAAATTATTTATTATGTTTGAATTTAGGCCAGAAGCCGAACCTTGTAACGGATAAGCTCCACAAATAATAGTCAAACCTTAAGGAGGATTAAATTCTTTTCCTTCAAGCAGAGCAAAGTGTTTAAAAAATGTTTAAAATTGTTTTGTTATTTTTGACAAACTAACCAATTTCGATAAATAAAATTTCATGGACAGAATAAAAGGTGGATTGAAAATTAGTAAATTTACTATAATATAAGTGAACATATTTGTTGTGGATTGCTTGAATTTTTAATATTAAACGTTTAAATTACCCATTTTAACCGTAATTATCTTAGATCAACATTTGAACTCTAATTTTGCATATCAATCGCAATCCAGTTTGCTGCAGGGCAACATAAACTAAGCATCCTTTGAGCATCTTTTCTACCCATAATGCCACTCGCATGAATGGGGACTTGGCAATTACTTAACTAATCAAAACTAAACACATTTAGCTGTGGCACAAACGATGCAGTAATTGCCACATTTGCCACTGGAGGGCAATGCCATGTGCCACATCATCAGAAGCGTAGAGTGAACAGCAGGACATGCAGTCAGCTCGGAACGAAACCTATCATAATGAGAACAAGCAAATTTCATAGCAGACCAATGCACAAAGCGAAGTGAGAGCCAGAGACTGAGTCTGGCAAAGTCCAACAAATATACAAGTGCCTGAGCGAAGCATAGACGACCACATAGTCGGGCGACTTTAGTGCAACTTATAAAACCATTAAAAATGACAGCAATTGCATTAGAGCCAACAGTTTAGAGCACACGTATGTTGGCGATGAAGCATTCTGTGGCCATTGTTGCATCCACACACATACACTCAGACATACTCACAGGCAGACAACCGCACGCTAAGCACCTGGCCGCGTGCCACACATGTATATATATATATGTCGTGTATCCAATAAATTATTGTGAGTATTATTTTGAATGCTAACGATTAAGTGTTAGTAAGAATCAGAGAATTTGACAGAAGGTACTGCTATTTAACATAACTGTCCTACTTGTATTAGGGTTGCTACTGAAAGCATGGTGTGAGACAAAAAAAGATAGTCTCTGCCGAGCATGGCCCGAGTGTGTTGTATAACGTCCAGTTTGCTATAGTGTTGAATGTTCACTAACAGTACTAAAAGTCAGAGAAGAATATAGAATGACAAGAGCATGAGTAGTATGCTCGAGGACGATGAAAATTATTCATTCTAAAAGTGGAAGTCATAGAGAACAGACGTGCTCGCTCCTAAAAATATAATTATTTTGTGACTATAACGACACTCGGGACTTGCTGTACTGCCAGTATGCCTAATTGCAAAGAAAGTGATTTCTCTGTTCCGACATCAGAAGTGGGATTAGGCGATGCCCCTCCACGAGGCAATTCTGACGATTCGTGGCGTCAGCTTTTGGAATCTCAAAATCGAAATATTCTTGAGATTATTAAAGCAATGCAGATGTCAAATTCAGCATCCTCAACAAAGAAGAGCATCTCGTTGCCAAAGTTCAACCCGGACATTGCAGGCGCAGATGCAAATGCCTGGTGCAAAACTGTGGACATAATACTTGACGATAATCCTATTGAGGGCAGTACACTGGTGATGACCCTCAGCGGCTCCCTAGAAGGAAGCGCCTCGCCCTGGCTTTCTCAAATATGCTATACTGGAATGAACTGGCAAAATTTTAAGGAATTGTTTTTGCAACGTTTCGTGGGAATGGAAACATCGGCGGCAACTTTAATGAACATTTTTAATGGCCGACCGAATGATGGCGAATGCCTCTCCGTATATGCGAGCCGTCTTGTGACCTCACTTTTATCCAAATGGAAGACAGCGAACATGGAGGAAATTGCAGTCTCAGTTGTTTTGGCACATACATCGAAAATCGACAAAAGTCTGCAACGTATGTTATATACGACTAATATTAAAAGTCAAGACGAGATGCAACAGCATCTGAAGGCCTATGCTTATGGAAGGTCAAATGGAGGTCTACAGCCAAATATCCCAATGGAACCAGATCGCAAGAGATCGAAAACATATGGCATTAAATGTCATCATTGTGGAAACCTCGGACACAAAATGGTCGAATGTCGCAAGAGGAAGTATGAAGAAGGCAACGTGTCAAAAAACTCAGCATTACCTAAAGTTCGATCTGCCGTTACCTGCTTCAAATGTGGCGATGCTGGCCACATTGCGTCTTCATGTACGAAAGGAGTTTCTACGAGCGGTGTTGGATCACATGACAAGCGTATAAACATCTGTTGTGTGTCCGAGCCAAAAGGAATCCTGCGTCAATCTGGTGAGCTCGTTCCATTTTGTTTTGACTCTGGAGCGGAATGTACGCTCATCAGAGAGAGTTGTGCCGAGAAATTTTCCGGAAAAAGAATTAATAATTTGATAGTTTTGAGGGGTATTGGAGAAAATCCTGTGTATAGCACTATGCAAATCTTGGCTACTGTTAAAATTGATCAGTACTCCTTAGAAATATTATTTCATGTAATAATGGATAAGTTTTTGAAATACGATGTATTGATAGGCCGTGATATACTCGGATTAGGCTTTGGAGTCTCCATCGAGGCCGACAAATTTGAAATGTACAAAACCAAAACTGTTGATGTACTAATAAAAGTGCCAGATATAAGTTACGTAGAGCATCTGAATAACGATAGAGCATTAAGCAACACTGATAAGAATCGTCTGCTAGAATTATTGCAAAACTATGCTGATAAATTTATTGAGGGTATTCCTCAAACGCGAGTGACTACGGGTGAACTTGAAATCCGCCTGCTTGACCCAAATAAAACTGTACAAAGGCGTCCGTATAGGTTAAGCATAGAAGAAAAAGAAGTCGTGCGAAATAAAGTAAAAGAATTGTTAGACGCAAACGTTATACGTCCTAGTTGCTCTCCATTTGCAAGCCCAATGCTGATGGTAAGAAAGAAAAATGGAACCGATCGACTATGTGTCGATTATCGGGAACTGAATGCTAATACGGTCGCTGACAAATATCCGCTGCCTTTGATTTCTGATCAAATTAATAGACTGAGTGAAGGCAAATATTTCTCCAGTTTAGACATGGCAAGTGGTTTTTACCAAGTTCCAATACACCCAGACTCTATCGAGCGCACTGCTTTTGTCACGCCAGAAGGACAGTATGAATTTTTGGCCATGCCTTTTGGATTAAAAAATGCTTCCTCGATTTTCCAGCGCGCAATCGTGAGAGCATTGGGTGATTTGGCTCAAACGTATGCCATCGTCTATATAGATGACGTGTTAATTCTAGCGAAGACAAAGGAAGAGGCACTTGAAAGGCTACAAACGGTCTTGGAAAACTTGTCTAGAGCTGGATTCTCATTTAACATTACAAAATGCTCGTTCTTGAAAACAAGCATAGAATATTTAGGATACTTGGTTGAAGCGGGTCAAATTCGACCAAATCCACGCAAGATACAAGCGTTGGCCGAATTGCCGTCACCGCAGTCAGTAACGCAGGTGCGACAATTCATAGGCCTAGCCTCGTATTTTAGGCAATTCGTACCAAAATTTTCTGAGCAGATGAAAGCTTTATATAATCTCACCTCCAAGAATAATAAATTTGTCTGGAAGCCGGAATATGAGGAAATTCGTCAAAAAATCGTATCAATTTTGACTAATGACTCCGTTTTGACAATCTTCGATCCACTAAAGCCAATTGAATTACATACAGACGCAAGTTCTATTGGATATGGTGCTATTTTAATGCACAAGATAGAAAATAGACCCAGAGTCATTGAATATTACAGCAAATGTACGACAATGGCTGAAGCAAAATATCATTCATACGAGCTTGAGACCCTCGCAGTTTACAACGCAGTAAGACACTTCCGCCATTATTTACATGGTCAAAAATTTATTGTGCATACAGATTGCAACTCCCTGAAAGCAAGTATCAAAAAAATTAACCTTACCCCAAGGGTACATAGATGGTGGGCATATCTGCAATCATTTGATTTCAGCATTGAATACAGGAAGGGAGAACGCATGTTACATGCTGATTTTTTCTCGCGCAATCCGTTGCCTACTGATTATAAATCCTCAGCGAAAACGGTTGAAATGCACATAAACCTAGCTGAGATAACCGACGATTGGCTTCTAGCCGAACAGCAACGAGATTCTGACATTGCTTCCATAACCTTAAAATTGCGAAACCATAAGATGGGAGAAGCTATCTCAGCGTCGTACGAATTGAGAGCAGGAGTATTATATCGAAGGATTCAAAGAAATGGCAGCACAAAATGTTTGCCTGTAATACCTAGAGCCTTTAGATGGTCAGTCATTAACAATGTTCACGAAGCCATAATGCATTTAGGGTGGAAGAAAACTCTAGACAAAATGTATGCCAACTACTGGTTCGAGAAGATGTCCAAGTATGTGAAAAAGTTTGTAGAAAATTGCATTACCTGTAGAGTGTCAAAACCACCATCTGGTAAGCTACAAATAGAAATGCACCCGATTCCTAAAGATGACATACCCTGGCACACTGTGCATATTGATATAACCGGAAAATTAAGTGGCAAAAACGACTTAAAAGAGTACATCATAGTTCAAGTTGATGCATTCACAAAATTTGTTCACCTTCAACATACGCTGAACCTTAATACGGAAAACTGCATTAAGGCAGTCAAAGAAACTGTTGCACTATTCGGAGTGCCGGCACGCATCATAGCTGATCAGGGTAAATGTTTTG